TATATATATATATTTATGTATATATGTATATATATATATGTGTATATATGTATATATACATAGGTATATATATATATATATATATATATATATATACACATACATTTACATATGTGTATATATATTTTTTTTCTTTCTTCTTTTTTAATGCAAGCCAGCCAATACAAAATAAAAAATAAAAACTTTGCTAATGAGTGAACTTACAGTTAGGGTGGCCACATTCTGTCCACTTTCCACATCCCACAGCTTGGCTGTGGTGTCCATGCTGCCTGTGGCCACCAGTGTACTCTGGGGGTTGAACGCCAGGCACACCTACACAACACAAAAGACACTTCTACATTTTCTTGTAATGCATACCCCTAGAAATCTGAATATAGTATGACACTTGTAATTGTTATTTACACTTTTAAATTCAAGGTTCATGTTCAAAATCCTTTATTGTCATTTGCATCACATCTGGTACATGAGGTGGAACGACATTATGTACTCAAGGTCCTAGTTACACCCAAAAATAGCAAAAATATAAAGTATGAACAGAAACAGTCTATAAGGATCTAACTAAGATATACTGTACGCTAAATTAACGCTAAACAAGACGTTGAAAAATCTAAGATATATGGTAAACACTAATAATGTAAAATAATACGGTGTAACAAGAGCAGCCTGTGAATGTGAAAATGAAGCAAAATCATTTATTCTCTGCATTTTGAAATCCCCCGTTTGATCTGGGGTCTATTAAAGCACAAGGTGTGAAAATGTGTCTGAAAGCACAGCACTTTATAGTGCCCGAGGAAACAACTAGATGATTTGTGTTTTAAGCTGATATGTATGAATTTAAAACCTTTTCTGTAGTGCTTCTAGTGCTCTTATTGTGACCACCTAAACATGGGTTCTGAACCTACGGCTCTTTGGTCCCTCTGCAGTGGCTCCAAGTTTGGACCAAAACTAACATAAAACTGAAGTTTATTGGTTGTTGTATCAACAACAAGAAATGTCTAGTTTTAGCAGCTTTACAGTAATTTCTTTTGCCAGCATGAGCATAATAGTAACACAAAGAGTAAAACTTGTTGACTACATGATGCTAGTAGTTTGTTAGCCACTTCTTTTAGTTCACTTCCAGTCTTACGTTGTGATCTTTTTTTCTCAGATCCACCAAATGTTTGGGGGTAATACCTTTAAGGCAAGTTGCTGAGAAGAAATATGATGAGTCAACTTGATAACAATAAAAATTAAAGACATAAAATCAAAGAAAATTAAAGTATTTATTTATTTTAATTTTAAAATTCAATCACATATCCAACAAACTGGCCTAATTTTTAACTTTATGCTTTATTACTTCATACTTTATGACTTGTTTCCACAATTAAAAAGAAAACTCACATAGGCCTGCATACTTGTGTTTGAATTTTTACAAAATTAGTAAAAAAATATATTTTTTTTTTTCTTCTTTATATAAATCCATTGTTTTCTTTTGCCCTAAAATATTAAAACACCAGTACATATTAAAAATAACTTGATATTTTAGTTTCATAATATCACACATACTGGCCAGAAAAGCTCCCTCCAACAGGCTTGAAGTGGCCCATGAGCCACCAGTTGATAATCACAGTTTTAGCAGGTTTTGTGGCTCCATAGACGTTTTATTTAGTGTGCAAAAGAGCAGAAATGCTCTTTTGATCATAAAGATTGCAGAGCCCTGGGCTAAACAACGTCACTAAAAATACATAATACAGCACAAATTTATATTTATTTCTATTCAACTTGATTTATCTAAATGTTTTGATTCCTTCTCATTTTAACGAGTTTGGAATGTTACTCTTGTAACTACAGTTCTGAAAATAGCAGCAACCAAACTAAATGTGATCTATTTGCATACCTTGCTTGATATCAGTAATTCATTTTAAAGCAGCTACAAGTTCAAACCATTGGCAGATGCAGATAAGAATGTAGATAATAGTGCAAAATATTCATTCTGAAAACCAGCTGTTCATAAACTAAAAGTAATTGAAAAAGACTGGCATACATACTATTTCTGCCGTGTGTCCCAAGTATGTATGGAAACATTTGCCAGATTCTGCACACCACAGTCTGCATGTCTTATCAAAAGACCCCGTGGCAATCTTGTCTCTAAGTTAAATGAGAAGAAAATAAAACAAGTTAAAACGTCTAATGCTGCAGCAGAATTATGGTCACGTGCTACAAAAGGTTCAGCTGAAACGACTCGTTACCCATAAGGGTTGTTGAATGCAACTGCATATACTACATTTCTGTGTCCCTCCAGGGTACACAGCTCTGTGCCCGAGGCAGTGTCCCAAACTTTGCATGTCCTGTCGTAACTCCCAGTTATGAACCTGCAGGGCGACAGAGAGACAAACAGCAGCAGCACTGTATGTAAGATTCAGTGCTTCTAAGCACCAGAAGCAGCTAAGAACCACCACATCATGATAAGACTTCCACCGTGTTTTGCTGAAGGTGGAATTTTCCTCAGTGATGCTGTGATCCCAGACTGCTCTTTCTATGTTTTCTATGTTCCATATTTATATGTTCTTTCTTTGTCAAATGCTAGAGACAAGGTTAGCTGTAAATGTGATTTTAAAGTAGCTGTTTTTTTTGTTCGTGGCTTTCTTTCAGCGTCCTTTAATTTTACGTACTGCATATACAGTGCCTATAAATGCAGAGACTAATTTCGCCATTGTATGGAAACATACAGTGCTGACATTGTGATGACATTATTATTATTATTATTATAATATTCACCCCTTGGATATTTTTATTTTTGTTTTGTTTATGTTGTTTTTTTTATTGTGGTCATTAATTAATTATGGTAAAAGGGTGCAATTTTTATGAAAACAGTAAGACAAAAATACTTCTTCGTTGTCCAAGTGAGATCAGATTTCTACAAAGAAATGCCAATTTAAAAATACAGTGTGAAATATGTGGTTGAATAAATACCACCCCGCCCTCACCTTCCTCTTTAAAGCCACTCCCCCAATTCTACTCAGACACGAGATTATTGAAAAGTTCAAGTCAGGGGATGTATACAATAACCAAAATAACATTTAAGGCCCTAAATATTCCCAGGTGTTCTGTTAAATCCATCATCAAGAAATGTAAGGAATAACAACAAAGCAGGTTAAATCATGTCATCTGGACCAGTATCCTTAAGGAATATTTGTATATCTACCAAGAGCAGGCCATCCTCACAAACTGAGTGAACATGCAAGAAAGAAAATAGTGAGAGGCCACCAAAACACCTGTGACCACTCTGAAGGAGGTAAAACTTCAGCAGGTGTGATGGGAGAGACTCCATCCATCCATCCATCCATCCATCCATTCATCCATTATCTTTAACCCACTTCTTCATTTTGGATCACAGGGGTCACTGGTGCCCATATCCAGCAGTCACTGTGTGAGAGGCGGGGACAGGTCTCCAGTCACAGGGACACATACAACCATTCACTCTCTCACTCACACCTAGGGACAATTTAGAGTTACCAATCAGTCTAACATGCATGTTTTTGTTCTGTGGGAGGAAACTGGAGTACCTGGAGAAAACCCACGCATGCACGGAGAGAACATGCAAACTCCACCCAGAAAGGCCCCCGGACCGGGTAACCTGCTCACTGAGAAGCAGGAGCTCTACCAGTTGTGCCACCGTGCTGGCCTGGGAGAGACGCAATTCAACAATGTTTTGATGAACACCAACAGATTTTTCACCAGTGGGAGAGTGGCAGAAAGAAAGCTCAAACTAAATCTCAACTTGAGATTCTCAACTTCCCTTTTTCTTTCGGCTGCTCCCTTCTTGAAGGGTCATCACAACAAACTAACTCGCACGAGGACATGGCAATTAATTTTACGCCGGATGTCCTTCCTGACACAACCGCAGACCACTGAGCTACCACAGCCCTCTGTGTGGAGCAGAGAGCTGCCATCTTGGGCACCCGCGGGAGCGGATGGTGGGGGTTAAGGGCCTTGCTCAAGGGCCCAGAGTGGGGCAAATGAGGGTGGAGACAGGTGTGGGTGCTTCACCTATCCCATCCACATATTTGATGTTGTCAGTCCAGGGAGTTGAACCAGCGATCTTCCAATCACAGGCTCGCCTTCCCTAACCTCTGACCACCACTCCCCCAACTACAGTTTCTCAACAATCTAGACAAACTCTAATTGATATTTAATATGAGTTTTCTTCAACAATGCCTTGTTTAACATTTAATATTTTTATTTAATTGACATTACTTTGTAGAAATTTGATTTACATTGACATTAAAACAAAGTTTGTTTAAAGAAGACCAATTTATTTGGCCCATACTGGATTTATGATAACCATAAAAATATAAAACATTTGATGCAGTGAATACTTGGCACTTTAAATGTTTACTTGATTTAATGCAAAACAGACGGAAACCATTACTCTACATGAACGTAGATCAGTGTGTGTGCATGTGTGTGTGTGTGTGTGTGTGTGTGTGTGATATGAGTTGTGATGGTTTTAATTTAATTTCAATCCAATTCAGTTCAATTCAGTTTATTATATAGCGCCAAATCACAACAGAATTCATCTCAAAGCACTGAACAGAAACATCCACATTCATTTTAATCAACACTTAATAATTTGCTCATGGTCTTAGGGTTTATTTTTGCTTTTCCATATTCACTCTTTCTGGTGCTTACAGTAACTTCTCCTGTTTTCATCGTCATAAAAGGGGAAATGGAAACAAATGACCTTTATTGTGTGACAAAGCCACACTACATTGATTATTATTCATGACACTGAAAATTGAAACAAGTTTTATGTGTCAAGTTCTTTTATTTTTCTTTACATTTTGGAGCTATTAAAAATACTTATATCACATTTCAGGGTTTTAAAAATCTCTGAGCAGCAGAGTCAAAGACAAACTCACCTTGATCCAGATTTGTCAAAGGCAACATTTGTCAGTGGTAGAATGTGTGCCTTCAGCTCCTAAAGAAATAAAATAAAGATCTAAACCATTTTTTTTAAATCCTTCCACTCAAAATTGATTTAACTCATCTTGAAAAATATGTATATTTTTTCCAGTAAGAATGATAAGGTCTCTCTTCTAGCCTAAAAGTAGTCAGACAAGAATTCCCCCATTAATAAACTTTTCCCAAAACACACAAAATAACAATAACTTTATCATTTAAAACATATATTTTGATTACTATGAGATTGGCTTACTTTCCAACACTGAGTAACTAAACCACTGCTGCCCTCTAGTGACTCTTCATTAACCAACGTCACAACTTGAATTTATGCAACATTTTCATCTACAGTATGCAAATAACACAAAATCAGGATCTTATATATGACTGCAATTATTTGATCCTGACAGAAATCAATTAAAAGTTATTTAAGTTGCTTATGTGTTATAAAGAACATGAGCGTGAATCACCATTATTTAGGCACTCAGTTTAATATTCTTGGAACATGATGAAATAAACTCATTTTACTGCTTTAATGCTGTTGGACTTTGACTCTGACCTTACAGAAGCAGAACCTGTGGTGGTCCTGCTGACCTTGTTTCTCTTGGAGTCGAAGGACCAGCTCTCTGACCTGTTCAGACCGGGACTCTGTGATCAGAGGCTCCACCTGACGGATTTCTGACACCAACTCTTCTACATTTGTTCTGTAACACGGAAAAACAACGCTCATGAATCTCAGATGTTTTCAAACAACAAATACCAATCGTGTAAAACATTTTGAAATGGGGGGGGGGGGGTGTGCTGGAAAAATATAAGCAAGGATAATTATAGACATGCAGAAAAGTTTCTAGCAGTTAGTTACACCATATGGTTATTATCTAAACAGAAATTATAGAGTGCTTCAAAAACTTGTAGGATTTATGAAACAAATAAGGTTCAAAACAAAGGATAAGTATTTATTATATCCCAGTGCAATAGAAACTCACTCACTGTGGAGTCAAATCCAGAAGGTCGATTGATTTAGTCCTCAAATAGCCTCCTTTCTCATACTCCAGGATGATACCTGATAGAGGATATAAAAAATGAACACATGTTTAGTTTGAATCATTCCAGCCTAAACAACTCCTGGAGATTTAAAGACCAAGAACAGATGGAAATGTCTCTTTTGAATAAAGGTTATGCTTTTTTTGCACGTAATGCAAACAACTCTCCTGTGCCTAACCCCAGCTATATGGTATAAAACAGGCTAAGCCTCAACTTAACAGAACCAAAAGTTTAGCTTTGGGCTAGCTAGCTAGCTAAAGCTGGACAAATGTTTCTTCCAAGACAAGTCAAGGTCAAAGTTGGAAACAATCCAACACAACACGATTAAGTTGCTGTAATTTAAGACACGTAACTTTAAGGCTGTGTTACCTGGTGGGTAATATCTAAGAAGAAATCGTTTGAGCCTCATATTCATCCAGAGCAGCACCTGTTGTCAACAAAAACGTTGCTATGACGACCGAAGAGCTTTCACTTGGTACACGCATGCGCAATACCAGAACGAAGCTAAGCGCAGTAGATTTTTTTTAAACAAACTTTATTTACACATAAATAATATACAATCACTAACAGTAATAGTAATTTGCTCGAAGTGAGGGGGTAACAACTGCAAAAGGATTCAAGAGACAAAAAAAAAAAAAAGGTTATAAATCAAATTCTTCATATAAGGCTTCAAGTTTCATAGCTTTAGAATTAGTGCAAAGTTTAAAAGAGTCCAAAAAGCAGCTCATATAGGCTTTGAAGACAGTGAGGTTGGGCTTGTGTTGAACATATTTGCTGGAATTTATGTGGAATTTACCCAACAGAATAAGAAAGTTAATGACATATTCTATCCTAGATGTTCTAATATTAGAAACACAAGAGAAAACATGTTTAACATTCAATGTAACAAGTAGGCCTATTGTAATTTCTGGACTATTGAGCGTGCCAAAATATAAGTCGCGCCCACTACATTTAAAAAATAATAATAATTTTGTACATATATATATAGGCTGCACTTGTGTATAAGCCATGGGTGTCCATGTTGTAACGTGAGACATTTACACAGAAAGATTTTTTTTTAAACTTTTGATTAAATATGTACCGTAACATACACAAATATGTACAGTAAATGTTTTTTCTGAACAGTGCCGGTAACACGGCTGGTAAAAAAAAAATCAGTAGCCTACCAGGAAGTCATTGATCACTATTGTCATGTTCCTCCTGCAGAGGATTTTTTTTTTTTAAACTGCTCCTCTGTCAGGATCCACTGGCAGACTGGAGCAGATGTTGCTCTTTGCATGCTGCCAGTTTTGGTAAATGATTTCTCGCCACCAGTCATCCAAGCCTCCCACCGAGCTTCGAGTGTCGTGTTAATGCACGATTCACACTGATATCAAGTGGCTGCGAATAATTTGTTGTGCCCCCAGGGAGGGACACAAGTTCCCCCTACTCGTTCTCTCCTCCACTCCTCGTTTCATTGCTCCACTGTGACCTCTTCAGTAATTTCATCCGTCTGAATTTTTTTACCTTTATTTATACAAGTAGTCTCATTGAGTCACGAGCCCCCCCAGGAGAGATGTGTATTAGGCAGCTATGTGAACGCCAGGGTGTGACGAGGCTAAATGATATGGCGGCAGGAAGCTCATTAACCTGTCAAAAAACACAAATCCATGAATTAGCCGCAGTATTGTATAAGCCACGGCGTTCAAAGCCTGTGAAAAAAGTAGCGGCTTATAGTCCAGGAATTACGGTATATCACATTCTCTGTTAAAGAAGATGTTAAGATCACACCAAAATGTTTTACTAAAAGTGCAGTCCCAGAAAATGTGGATCAATGTTTCATCTTTAAGATGACAGAAGGAAAAAACGAGGATCAATATTTGGAATATATTTAGCCAGTACTGAATTTACAGGACACCTCCCGGACCTTATTTGAAACAAAAAATAATAATTCTTGGCAACGACCACGTCTGTTTATCAGAATACAGATTGTTCCAAAAACAGATTGAAGCAGGTTTACTAATAGTATTCCTTTGGTTCTTTCTCTAATATGTCTATTTCCAGTTTTAATACTAAGGAAATGATCCGAGTTTCCAATAAATAATTGACTTGAGCTCTATCAGCAGTAAACCTGCTGGGATGGCATCAAAAACAATAGCAAAGTCTTTAGGGGTTACTGCGATGTTATATTCAGAAAGAAATTCACCATACTTAAACATTTGTCCATTCTTGTTAAACAATTGTTTTACAAATAAAATATCAATCCATCCAGTTCTTAAAAAAACTTGAAGCAAACATCTTGGTTGTTCCATCTAAGACAGTTACGAGGTGAAAAGTTGTATTTATAAATCAATGTCCAGCATAAAAGTAATTGTTTATGGAAGTTGGATACATTTGCAGGAAGTTTTTCTATTTTGTAGTTGCATCTTAAGAAAAAGTCTAGGCCCAAGTATTTAAAAATATGTGTAGAGATCCAGTGACACATTGAATTTAGATTTTTCAGATATCTTTGGATCCATTTAACTTTGAATGTGGAGTGCAGGTTATTCAAGTCCAAAACATTGAAACCACCTGAATTGAGTTTATTGATAACATTTTTTTTTTCTCGTAAGATGAGGCTTTGTAGCCAGTAGCTCGCTAGACTTCTCGTGTGCACGTGACATCCCAAAACACCACCTTCCTAATTTGCATAATGTAACAGAAACGAACGTGTGAAAAGAAATTAAAAGTGAAGTCATAAGGTGGAAAAAAAGATATGGAAAAAACATATCTCAGGTGCTATTAGTTCTTATTTGTGATTGATTTACGCTACAGTTTCAGTATAGAAAAATCTTAATTGAGTTTATGATTTATTTAGAACTGTTTACTGTCAAGACAAATTGTTTGCTACCTAATGTTCAGATGCTTTCTAGAAACATATTTAGGAACAAATGTTAAATTATAATCATAAAATTGTAAGAGCACTTTGACTTTTTGTCCAGTGAATCCTTTCTTAATGTGTAATTACTTTATACTGAAAATGGATTTAGTCCCATCCTGCGATGCTTTCGTTTCCTGGTCAAAGTCTGTACGTCTTAATCTGAAGTCCAGATTAGGGCGTATGTGGCTCATAAAGATTATGTGTGCATTTACTGGCTACTGAGCAAAGCTCAAAGCACTTACGGGATCACCAATGTGCTGTTCTGACTTAAACGGAGAACAAAGTATAAAAGAAACTTCTGTTTAAACATAAATTGAAGACAACCTGTGATAGTTTTGCTATAGGGTTAAAATATGGGTTTGTGGGCCAAACTGAGGCCATCTGGATGGGTTTATCCAACCACAATCCTGTCGCTCTATGGCTTTTTTGCTAACTGCCGAGTAGCAGAGCCCTTCCTTACACCTTACTTAATTGGACCACACAAGAACATCACCGAAGAGGTGGTAAGAACCACACGTGCATATGTTTTGTTCCTCAATCATTGATTGCCAAGAAGATCATCAAATTCTAAACACGAGACAAAAATAATCTGCAATCCTGTTCTCAGCCCTCTGTCGTCTCCCGCAGTTGACCAACTATCTGTTTCCTATCTGGACGTACTCCTACCTGGCTTTCCTTTTCCCTGTTTTCCTCTTGACTGACTTCCTCAGATACAAGCCCGTCATCATGGTACAGGGGCTTTTTCTGGTCACCAACTACATCCTGCTGTGCTTTGCCCCAGGTCTGCCTGCAATGACCTTCCTTCAGGTTAGCAAGATCCTCTAAAGTTAAAATGTGTAACATTTCAGAAACTGATTAGGGTTGTGTCAGTGACATACTTCTAAACTTTGTATTTTTTGCTTATTTTGGCACATTACAATCTTGCATCAGCAGTGAGTGTTAATCAGAAACATTTTTAATGCATCTGTTATTGCCTTTTATATAAAAAATAATAATGTTGCATCACTACAGTTTCATTTCAACTGCTGTCTGTTTTACAGGTAAACTATGCTGTCGCGACTTCCACAGAGGTGGCCTACTTCTCTTACATTTACAGCATGATTCCACTTGAAAAATACCAAAGAGCTACAGGTTTCCTGCGCAGCGCCATTCTGGCTGGATATACATTTGGTGCCAGCCTAGGTCAAATGCTTGTCTCCCTTGCAGGTAGGGCCACAAACATTGTCATATATAAAACTTAATCTCAAGAAAATGTAAACGTTGCATCACTGACTTGTGAAAAATGAAACATCATAAATAAATTGCTCTCAACTATGCTTCAAAATGCAACGCTTCTTCTCTGAATAACAGGAGTGGACTACTTCTACCTCAATGCTGTAACTCTAGGATTTATGAGCATAGCTTTCCTCATCTCCTTCTTGTTGCCCATGCCCAAAAGAAGCATGTTCTTCAAGGAGGAAAAGGCTGCAGGCCCACCGTCCCAGAAGGAGGACCGGCTCAGAAACAATAGCCACGAGCATCCGGTGATAGATATGAGGGCAGCAGGCCCAGAGGAAGAGAAGATGGAGCATGATGGCAGGGCTGGCTGGTGCAGCAAAGAAAATCTGATCGCTGCAGGAAACTTACTTTGGGGGAGCTTCAGGGAGTCATACTCTTCACGGTACGTCCACTAGGTCTTGTATTTTAGTTATCGAGGTTGCACAGTGCAAGTATGCATACAGCAACTATATTCAGCTTGGATAATTACTCACTGTGGTGTTTTTCTACAAATTATTGATACTGAAATGCCCTTGATAAATCTACTCAGCATTATAATCTGTTACACTTCACACTATGCAGGCACCTAGTTTACTGGTCTTTGTGGTGGGCTCTGGCTACAGCTGGCTATACGCAAATTTTTAACTACATTCAGCTTATGTGGGACCACAAAGAACCATCGGCCACATCGTCCATCTACAACGGAGGAGTCGAGGCCGTTTGCTCAGTTGTTGGTAAGACTTTCATCATCCCCAGTGAGAAACCTGAAAACACAGAAAAGACTACAACCAAAGCAAAATGAACACAAAGTTATTGTTTCTATGACTGGAAGGGTAAGAATAAAAAAAAAACTGAGGGGAAATAGTGAGAATGAAGATGAGGGAAAGAATGAGAATCAGAAGAAAAAGAAGATAAACAAGAAAGAAAGAGAATGAGGAAAAACAGAATAAGGATGAAAATGTTGCTTTTCTTTTTTTTTGTCTGTTCACTTTTGCAGAAGTGCGAAGAACAAGAATAAGAATGAGACAGAGAATGAGAAAAAAACAATAATTAATGACAGCACTCCAGCCAAACAGACTAAAAGTTGGTTTGCATCATGAAAACTTCAGTTTGACAGAAAGTAGAAACGGGAACACTGATTTACTGCACTTCAAACGTGAACCAGAAGTTTAATTGTTGTAGGGAAGCAGAACAAGATGGCTGCAAACTCACATTTTACTGCACAAAGCCACATTTAACAACGTCATTTAAAGCTGCCACATTAGATAGCACACAGACAGACACAAACTGCAGTTAACTAAAAACAAGCGAGCCGCACCTGCTCATCTGTGGTGACTGATTAAATAGAAAATGGGTATTGATTCTGAAAGGAAGAAACAGCACCAGTGTCCATTTTGGCTCACATTCACAGCGCAGATCAGCACAGGAGGAGGAAGAGTAATTGCTTCAATTAAGGAGATAGTCAAAAGGTGGTGGATTATCTGATTATTGCTGATACTGGATTCTAAGGGCCTGGTGTAAAAGGTTTGTCAAACCAGGCTTTGGAGAGATGCCAAAACACACGTGTGCAGGAAGTTTTGCTAACTATGATGGTCAATGAAAGAGATGATGGCATTCAGATAAATGAATCCCAACAACAAAGATGCAGAAGCAGATAATTGTATGTCTCGTGTGACAGGAGCTGCAGCAGCCTTCTCTGTGGGCTTCATTGAGGTGACCTGGGCCGTGTGGGGAGAGCTGGCGCTGGGGCTATTCTCGACTGTGGCATCAGGCGCCGTGTTTCTGATGGCGTTCACCAGCAGCATCTGGGCTTGCTATGCTGCATATGTGCTATTCAAATCCTGCTACATGTTTCTCATAACCATCACAATGTAAGCGTACAGTATATTTACACCAAGTTTATTTATATAGCGCCAAGTCACAACCAAAGTCGTCTCAGAGCACTGAACAAAAACAGTCATATACAAACCGGATTCCAAAAAAGTTGGGACACTAAACAAATTGTGAATAAAAACTGAATGCAATGATGTGGAGATGGCAAATGTCAATATTTTATTCGTAATATAACATAGATGACAGATCATAAGTTTAATCTGAGTAAATGTAACATTTTAAAAGAAAAATATGTTGATTCAAAATTTCACAGTGTCAACAAATCCCAAAAAAGTTGGGAGAAGTAGCAATAAGTGGCTGGAAAAAGGAAATTGAGCATATAACAAACAGCTGGAAGACCAATTAACACTAACTAGGTCAATTGACAACATGATTGGGTTTAAAAAAAGCTTCTCAGAGTGTCAGTGTCTCTCAGAAGCCAAGATGGTAAGAGGATCACCAATTCCACCATTGTTGTGCAGCAAGATAGTGCAGCAATACCAGAATGGTGTTACCCAGCGTAAAATAGCAAAGACTTTTAAGTTATCATCATCAACCGTGCATAACATCATCAAAAGATTCAGAGAATCAGGAACAATCGCTGTGCGTAAGGGTCAAGGCCGTAAAACTCTACTGGATGCTCGTGATCTCCGGGCACTTAAACGTCACTGCACCTCAAACAGGAATGCCACTGTCAAGGAAATAAAAGAATGGGCTCAAGAATACTTCCAGAAAGCATTTCAGTGAACACAATCCACCATGCCATCTGCCGTTGCCAGCTGAAACTCTACAGTGCAAAGAGGAAGCCATTTCTA